TTTCTTCACTTTTAACTAAAGATAAAGTATTAATGGACGTTTTTAACTGTTATTTATTACAAAATGCTGTATACAATTGAAAATTTTTACTCCTTTTTACTCTCCTAAATTTGGTATAACAAGCCCGTATGATTGTTTCATTTAAAAACCATGGATGATCGTTTTATAAATAGTTCTTTTGTCCCGACTCGATGGGCGGAGTTATAGAAAAGTGTGGGTTATGTACAGAAAACCCACACTTTTAACAAAAGAAATCACACCTAACTATGGTACAAAGTATAATATTATATACCCGATTTTGCGAAGACTGTCTTAAGTCCCTGTGTTTTGAACGGTAAGGGCTAGGGCTTTCATACTTCATATATGTATTCTTTGTGAGAAGACCTTTCATTGGATACCAAGAACTCAGACCCTTTGACCTTGACCTTGGAGCTTGACCTACTTTTTAAAAACAAACCTTGACCATAACTTTTGAAGGGTTAGGGCAAGGGCTTTCATAATTTACGTAATTGATCCATTTGACAAGATCTTTCAGTGGATATCAATTAATAACTTTGAACTTGATCCTGGAGTTTGGTCTACTTTTTAAAAATTTAACCTTAACCATAACTTTTAAAGGGTTAGGGCAAGGGCTTTTATACTTAATTTTTTACCGGGTGGTAAATTCCAGGTGATGGAGGGGCTTATTTTGTACAGGTGTGAATGCCTTGGGGGCTAGCAGTCTACCTGTGGTCATCTGTCTCCTAATCCCTATACACAGGAAGTGATTTAATACACAGTGTAATACCCAGATGTCAAACTTTACCTGTGATGGGAATTTTGAGACAATTTTAAATTAGTAATTAAAAGTTTCTCAGTTATGTGTAAATTTGTTTTTGAATGTTTTAAAACATCCCTACCCATTTAGGAAAAAATTATTATGATATCATACTATAAATTCAAATATTAAAACGAAGATTATTTAAGAGGTTAGTGTATGTACATATTAATTAAAAGAAAACCCCTGTAACAACCAAATTAGACTTAATTCATTTATTCCTAGGATCCCATCTTTTAAATGAAAAAAGAGCCGTGTTAACTACTTTTCATTGGGCTAAAATTATCTAAGTTTATCCTAATCTTATTAATAAGGCTTTGTCACCATAAAACATGCTAAAAAGTTTGCTTGTAAATTCTTATCTGAATAAAAAAGGAAAATATAAATGACCCATGATTAGAACCATTTATAGATTTTTTTAAATTTTATTTCTCCACACAGTGCTGCTCTGAACTTTATTAATAACATTTCCACTTTAGGTTTATCATTTAGCATATTAGAATTAATATCGAAAATTCATTTGGTAAAAAAAAGTTTTATGTACCAAAGATTTTTTTTTTAATCAAAAAATGCATATTATATTATAATTCTTTCAAATACTAAAGGTATATTTAATTCATATATTATCAATCAAAAAATTTTCATAGTAATACAGTTTCTCTATACCATGTTCGGTAAACATCAAAGGATCAAAAGTTAATTAGAAGGTCCCCACGAGTCCCAACAAGGTGTACAGGGTATACACAGGGACCAGTAAGTAAATGTCAATCAAGTTCCAGCATCCAATGATGGACCTTCAAGCACTTGATTGACAGGGCTACCCTGACAAGATATTTTTGAAGGCGGTGCTTAAAATCTCTGCCTTTAACATATTTTATCTTTGTGACAAGACTTTTCTTTGGAAACCAACAACTTAGACACTTTGACCTTGACCCTGGAGTTTGACCTACCTTTCAAAAACTTATCCTTGGCCATAACATTTGAACAGGCTGTGCTAGGGCTTTCATATTTCAAAATTTTGTTTCTTGTGAGAAGACCTTACTTTGGGTACCAACATATTTAATTTGCATTTAAGAAAAAATCATCTTCGAACACTACGTTGCCATACGGGGGCATCAGCTAGTTTTCACAAACACATCTTGTTTACCTCATGTTCTCGTTTGAGTATATAAGCTTATTTTTAAAAAAACCTACTCTAAATCTGCCTATGTAATGAGTTTTGAACGATTGCTGCTAAAGCTGACATATTTACCGCCACGCGTAAGTACCCAGTGAATTTTAAAAGGTCTATATACGATCAAATTCTTGACCATCTTCGCTAGCCAAGGGTTTTCGATCCGAAATCTACTCTATATAACATCGATTTGGAAACCCTTGGCTAGCGAAGACGATTCTTGATATGATTTTATGATTTATAAAAATTTTAATAAGATAAAATTTAGAGCCATCATATTGCGAAACAGACATGTTTTGAGGAAGTTAGAATGGCATCTATACGTGCAGTATTTATTAATTTTGTTATGACGCGCCTTATGTAATCAATTGATATTGACACTTAATACTCATGTGACTATTTTTCATCTCAAAAGTTCAGATTTGTTTATACGTATAATATCCATGGATTTTATCCAGTTTTTTTAGTCTTAAAAAAAAATTAAACGTTTATATAGTACAGTTGTTATAAAATGCAAGTCGATATTTTGATTATTAAATTAAAATACAGCGGACAAAACCAATTTTAAAAGGTGTCTAGAGTCAAACTGTCAAAATGGTTAACATTTAGAGCAGTAAATTTAACATATTTCTGGCCTCGCAACAAAGACGATAACAAGCTTTTATACACATGTCCAGTATCTTTTCCTGAAAATCTTAATGATTACAAGCAAAAATTACGAATTGATGCACACATCAACTCAAGTATATGACGTCTCGCTGAGATTGATTTGAAGCACGCAGAATTCAGTGTGATTTCTTTCATCAATTCATCAACTCATCCACAGCTGGCGATGACGAATAAGGTGTCTGTGAATTCATGCATCTATCCCATTCATTGTTCATGCATGGTAAACTTATTGCTCGAAAGTTTTACTTACATCTTGGATAAATATTCGTCAATAATCATTTTCTAACGTTGTGTTTTTAGATGAATTCAAATATGCATATGTACAATATATTATTATTATTATTTATTTATCCACCAATCAAGGGCCCTCTGGGGGCATATACAATTAAGAAACAACAATATAATCATGATTATAACAAAGCAAAATTGACTTGATCCTCACAAGTAAAAGTTCTCAGATCTGAAATACTGATATACAGGGGGGTACCTGTAAAGTGCGAAACGAAATAGAAACGAAACGAAACGAACTGAAACGAAACGAAATCTGCCGAAACGAAACGAAATCTACCGAAACGAAACGAAACCTACCGAAACGAAATGAAATCACGACGAAACGAAACGAAACCTGCCGAAACGAAACGAAACAAAACTATCAAAATGTTTTATTTTTTTTCAAATCAAGGTACAATAACATGTATATAATTATATATGTGTAACTGCATGTGGACTTTTTTTTTACTCAAATAAAATTTATATATATATAATATAGTTCAAGCACTTGTTAATATAAAATTTAATTACTGATGAATTTTGCTCCTTTCTCAATCTAATGATGTATTTACCTGTTTGCCAGCTGCAAATATGCACGAGCGTACTATGCATGTATAATTTCAATATGTGCAGTATTTTCTAATTTTTATATCTTACTCTTATTTTCAGTCCTTATTTATCTAGATACAACATATCTATCAAAATTGATGCTGTTACATGTAAAGGCTCGTTTATGTACGGGTCGAAATAAAGTCACTGTATTGTTGTATTGCGAATGTCTTAAAACATAGGATAAACCAGCAACTAAGAGTATTTAGTAATCCATTCCGAGGTGTCTGGTTTTATCGTTCAATTATACATGTAAATTCTTGTGTATCCTTTCTACATACATAGATACGGACCTATTTTTATCGAGGTAATTTTCGAGGAAGAAATGAGTGGTTTGCAATAAAGAGGCTCGATCAGAGACGTAGAAAACGATTTAACTGACAAGAAACAAACGATGTCAATTTTAAGTAGGTAAATTATTCAGTAAGATATTAATAAAATACGACATAGGGGTCGGAAGCGGGGGCGATGCTAGCCCTCCCCCCACTTTTTTTGCAAAGATATATATTATATAGGCATTGAAAATTGGGGTTAATCTTTTTGTTGGTTAAGCCCCCCCCCCCCCCCCTCCACTTTCAATATCCTTCCGGCGCGTACGCCTATGTATGAGCTTGAAGCGAAACAATGGCCTGTGGTGCTTGAACTATATAAATTTCATATTAAGTAAAAATAGACCATATAACCATTCTGAAAGTTTTGTTTCGTTTTGTTTCGGCAGATTTCGTTTTGATTTCGTTTCGTTTCGTCTTGATTTCGTTTCGTTTCGGTAGGTTTCGTTTCGTTTCGATAGATTTCGTTTCGTTTCGGCAGATTTCGTTTCGTTTCAGTTCGTTTCGTTTCTATTTCGTTTCGCACTTTACAGGTACCCTATACAGGGTAGTTCACAATGAAATATAAGCATTACCTATACAATATAATGATAATAATGCAATATGAAGAAAAAAAAAAGTAATAAAATAACAAGTTCCCTTATACTGCAATGACCTGGCGGATAATAGCAAATATCTTTGAAAAAGAATAATATTCATATAGGAATTCGATTGAAGATTGCAACGTTTGTTGACAGATATCTGCAATAAAATTAAATATTTTTTGCATCTCGCCATGCATGCATCAGAAAATGGATGATATCTTAAAATAATTAAATATATCTCAAGGGAAGGGGTCCAGACGTTTGGGAAAGTTAAATAAAACAACATAGACCCACGGGAATCGTAGTTGTAATAATAATTGATGATGCAGAGTTCAATGTGGGACCTATCCCCCCCCCCCCTTTCCAAAAAAAAAAAATCGCAAATCTGTTTAATTTTACCAGTTGTTTACATAGTTTTAAAATCAAATGACTATGAACAATCTGTATGTTGTGCAGATCAAAGATTTTATCGTAATTATGCATACTACACGAATGCAAAGGGAAACTTGATATCAATCGGGATCGAGTTACAACATACCATCCTATTTGAGTCACGTGATACAACAAAACGGCATGGAACCAGGAAGTGGAAAAGTAAAATAAAACGAGAATTGAATAAATCCGCGAAACACACATGATTTTATCACTAAGACTACAGATGAACGATGGATGACACTTATGACGAGGAACGGTATGATTCTGTTTATGCAAACGACCCTGTGAGCGAATTTCTTAACGTCACAGAAAACCTAAAACAAACAAACTTGGACCAACTTCTCGAGGAAGATAAACGAAACAATGCTAACAAAGATGACCCAATTTCATGGTACCATGGAAAGATTCCACGAGAAGCTGCAGAGAGCATTTTAAAGGAGGGTAAGTATTCATATTGAATGTCTTATGTATGGTCGGTATTTTGCAAACATGCTAAATGCTGAAATGGAGATTTTTTAAGCAAGAAGGATGTGATTTCCATTTCAAATGTTATTATGCATCGATTTTATGCTCATGTTTTTTAAATCTATAGGGCAAACTGACCATGGTTCGGACAGACAAAAAAATTGACCTAGGTTCGGACAACTTTACCGTTATTTTTGTCAGTTAAATAAATCTGTTTTCAGCATAATACGGAAATTTTTCAATCTCAGCGATCAGATTTTCTATTTAGTCAAGACCCCGTGTTTATCACGTGACTCGATACTTGGTGGTGGCGCTACGATTTTAGGGCATGTGTAGTTTGTTTTACGTCAGCAGTTTACGGGAAAAGTAAACAAACACTTGCAAGTAAAATCAAATGAAGGAGGCTCTGCTTTATTAAACCAGTATGAATTATTTCTATTGCGTTTCTAAGTGATTAATCCTTCCTATTAGTCAAAAATTGTATAAGTTATTTTTTATATTTGTTGTGAAATCCTCCTCGAAGTCTGAAAAATAAATGTACCTGGGTTCGTACACCAAATGACCATGATTCGTACATTGCTCAAACCAAAGTTCAAGCTACTTAATTAAGGTCAAGATCTAGAAAATGAAAGGTGCCTACAGATTTATCAAATTTGAGAAATAAATTCCTTTATTGATGCTTTACAACTTTAGCTTGGCCAAATACACGTAAGGTGTTTTGGGGCATAATCTGTAGATAAACAAGATGAAAAACTGTATTTTAAACTGTCATTTTCAATGAAAAATTAAGAAAACCGGTCATGAATATGGGCGTTTTTTACATATTCGACAAATGGAATGTATCAAGATTGCCTACAGTCTCTCAGAAAACGATAATTAGTATGTTCATGCCCTCTTCTTTCAATCTTCTTTCAATCAATATCAATTAGTCTAAAGTTATTTACTAGATCTTGACCTAAAATCGCCTTTTAAAATTGGGAAAAAAAATCGGAGAGTAAATAAATCACGTGATTGATATTCAAAGCATACGGATAATAATATTGTTTTTTAAAAAAATCACACTTCATGTAAATATAAAAAAAAATGTATACATTTTAAATGTACATACATGTACTATATTATTTTTAATCGGTCAAAATGAGGATGGGCTCCTCAAACGTATGATATTGTTATATGCATTTTGCAATTTTTTTGGTATAATAAAATTAATTAATTCATTTGATTGAGTAAAATGATGTTTAATAAATTGAAATTTAAATCAATTCATTAATCATAAATATTATTACAGAATTTCTAGCATTTAAAAGAAATTCCTATATAGCACCAAGAATTTTTGATTGGTTTAGAAATGAGCAAGTGCCGGTTACATCTTTCATTAATACATAGACTTCTTAATTGTAGACTTCTTTTACAATGAAATAAAAATCCCTAGTTTAGAGCAAAAATGGAAAACGTCAAAATAAAGGGTGTGTATGGTCTCGGTATATATGCACTCCATGTATTTGGATGCTAAATAACTAGTGTATTATTTGTTCAAAATATGAGCGCAATAATCAAAAAGACATGCATTGATGCTACTGCAGTTTATGAAGATCGTGCAGTGACATGCAGAGAAAAGATTTTATCTTCACCATGCATATTCGTCATTTATTTAGAACGAAAATTAACTGAGGGTCCATGCTCTCATAAAGGCAACCTGCAAAAGGCAGTAGAAAGTTGAAGAACACACCCCGAACAAAAATAAATTGCAATTCAATTCGAAAAGTAATCATTTAAAACTCATTGCTTGCACTTTTAAAAAAAACAGAAAACAGATATTTTTCATTTCTTTTATTATATGGAAACAGAAAACAAAAGGGATAAAAGTTAATTAGGTTATCCTTACAATGATCAGCTCTTAATGGTATGTCAGCATGTCATTAAACAAAATCCTTGGACCTAAGGTGTATATTCGAGGAGAGGGGGGGGGGGGTTAACACTTTGTAAAACACGCTACCTTGTTACTGGAAATGGTATAGATCTATACCTATACGAATCCCTCTTAGTGCCTAATTAAATTAGCAGGAGACGATGCCAAGCCCAAGCTTTCCCTTGAAGACGAAAAGATTGAAGCTAACTGAGTACAGAACACGAACTTGCAAGGAAAACTATATTTACTTTGCTGGAATATGCAGTGTTATTTGACGCAAATGGTGATTTTGAGTGAAACATGGCCTTCCAAATATGCACTGAGAGAGCAAGAATTAACGAAATCAATAAAATTTAAATACCATTATTTTTTTTAAATGCCACAATTTCAGTCTCGTTTTTTGGAGGAAACCTTCGACATATTTGAGGTTACAGTCGAAGAAAATGGGAGGGGTGCTCAAGCAATAAAAATTTGTTTCTTTAATATTAATATATCAGTGTTTTCATTGCAAATTACAGACGAACTCAAACGATTGTCAGTTGCTTGAAGCTCTCTCAGCACCTACTTATCAGATATCAGAATTGATACCGCTGACTACGGCGATGATTTTTTTATTGAATTGAAACTGCGACGTAAGCCCAAATATGATGAAACTTTTTTCACCATACGTCATTTGATACTTATAAAGACAAACTAGAACACAAAAAAGAGGAAAGAGAGATAAAGAATAATAAAAACAACAACAACAACAACAACAGATTTTTATTAGGAATGGGAAAATATGATTAAAATCTTATTGGAGGTTTTTTATTATGTCATGCGACTTACCTGATAAAACTTTCACAAGAAAAGAAAATTTGAAAAATAATCCAGCAAACGAACGACAAAAAAAAAATGGTCCGAACTCGAAGGAGGGTCAAACTTTCTTTCACTTTAAAATTTTATCAAATACCGGAATGCATTACCAAAACACTACGATGTAACAATGCTACAACAAAAGAAGGGGACGTGTTTTAGAAAGGGGGGCTCCCCCTCTCGCTACTACGAGCCTGTAAATATTGCATATCTGTTATTAAAAAAAACAACATTTGTTTACTGTATATATTATCATGTCCGAACCTTGGTCAGATACGTTCGAACCATGGTAAAAATCGCTTGATGAATTTAACTTCTAGTTGGAACAGAGGTATTTAGTGTTTTGGTGATATATTGACAATTGATAAAACCCGAAAGGTACCAAAACACTCTCCAGTTGATAGTAAGAGTCTAGACCACTGTCACTCGGAACAACAGCTTATTGCTTGTAAGCAAAACAAGAACCGTCCGAACCATGGTCAGTTTGCCCTATATAGCATTATACACAGAACTTAAACTTTTTAAAAAAAAAAATAATGCATGCATACAAAGTCTAGAAATGTCTGTCTCCAGTTTTTGCTGTCTGTGCTATTTGTTGATTAGCAAGATTAAGTTCTTAGTTGGACTTGGATCCCCAAACTATGCTGAGCATACACGATTCGATCTAGCTGCAGAACTGTAGCTCTCTGGAAGAGAAAAGTTGGAAGACAAACCAGAGAGCTACAGATCATTCAAAGGCAATCAGAGGATTGTAAAAACCATCAATTTATGGCAACTCTTTTTTATTGCACACTAAAGGCATTATTTTTTGTATTATTTGCATTCCCCGTGTTAAAAGCTTTATCCCTTTATATATAACAAGAAAGTACGTAAGGGTTGCCCGCAACCCTGTGTCTCGCCTGCTGTCTGATGTGTAGACTGACAAATTATCATGCCACTATAAGTTATAGTTGCTGAGATATGGACCTCCACCATAAATTTATGCAAAGTCACTCATGCGGAAAAATGTAGGTCAAGATGACCTAATTCTGGTACAGGCGTTTGTGGTTACCCATGATGTATCCACTGACAAATTATCATGCCACTATAAGTTATAGTTGCTGAGATATGGACCTCCACCATAAATTTATGCAAAGTCACTCATGCGGAAAAATGTAGGTCAAGATGACCTAATTCTGGTACAGGCGTTTGTGGTTACCCATGATGTATCCACTGACTAACTATCATGCCACTATAAGTTATAGTTGCTGAAATATGAACCTCCATTATCAATTTAACCAAAGTCATTCATGCAGAAAAATGTAGGTCAAAATGACCTAATTCTGGTACTGATGTTGTTGGTTACTTATAACCTGTACAATGACAAATCATCATGCCATTATAAGTTATAGATGCTGAGATATGGACCTCCACCAAAAATTTAACCAAAGTCACTCATGCAGAAAAATGTAGGTCAAGATGACCTAATTCTGGTACTGACGTTTGTGGTTACCCATGATGTATCCACTGACTAATTATCATATCCCTATAACTTATAGTTGCTGGAATATAGGTCTTCACCATAAATTATCATGAAAAAACTAAGTCCAACTTAAGGAAAAAATACGGAAAAATTTGAATTTTTTTTTTCAAAATCATACTTGGGATATAAATTTTTATCCATACTGAATATTGTGTCCAAATTTCAAGAAGACTGAATAAAATTTGAGAAAGTTATTGCAGTTTATAAAACTTTGACATTTGGGTTAACCAAAAGTTGGACGCCGACGACGACGACGGAATCTATGGTCGCTATGTCTCGCTTCGCGACATTCGTCGCAGGCGAGACAAAAAGTATATTGAACACTCCCAGTCATGTTACTTTAATTATCATTCAGAAATTTTTAAAAGCTATCTGGCTGTGGAATGTCAATTTCATAAACTTCACATTCCAACATCCATATTCAGGAATCATGCTGTCAGGGACTGTTGAACAGGCTATTGAAAGGTAAATAAAGTATCAAGATTATGAATTAAAAAAATATCACGGTTATCTAAACTGTGGTTATTAGATAGATACCATGCTTTTAGTGGAAAGGTGCAAATAATAAAAAAAGTAATATCCATGGCATGCAACAAAAATCATCACTGTAAATGTTTTTGATATTTGCATCTGTAGCTCTCTGGTTTGATTGACTAAATTTTATCAACCAGAGTGCTACAGTTCCACGGC